GTTGTCTAGAATGACAAGGAAAGCTTGATAACTAAATCGTCGATTACAGAAAACACAGTCATCCTGAGCTACAAATATTTCCCATCATTTCAAGATCTAAAATTTGCATATTCGACTCCAGACTAGAAAAATATACAAACAATTCTGAAACAGGGAAATTTGAATAAATATATATTTTTGCTTCAGTTTTACGAGACTCAGTCTTTGAAAGCCATTATTTTATGATGAAAGATGAACGAACACATCGAATAACGGTAAACTTTTTGTGTGCTTTAAAAGACTGCTTATAACATCACAGTATGCGTGACAAATTATTTAAATAAAGTCCTAATTAGTTGTAAGGTAGTGTTCATCACGAAGAGCTATTGAAAACCTGGCAGCACTGGACAGCTGTTTCTTCCTAGTATGGGACTCCTCAGCAGCACTCATCCACGAACCCAGCAGCTATCAAACCCAGGACCTTCACGTTTCATGGCAAACACGTTAACAATCTGGCCACTGCGTCAAAGTTCAGAGTTTCCGACTTCTGTCCCTTCACAGTATAGCGTGACTATCATCTAAGGTCTTCAGTTGGCATACGCTTCCCTATCTACTGGTTTACTCCACAGGTCACTGTTTCTCATTAGAACTTCGTGATATCCATCTGAAAGCATGTCACCAACCAGCACTATTGTATGAGCACTAATTATAAGCAGTTAGTAGCCGATTTTTCTTTTTCATTCATCAGCCATTTACCAAATGTCACTAAGTATTTTGTCCCAGAGAACTGACATTGTTCATAATGAATTACTACATAGGAACAGTTGACATCATGAATACACGTTGATGCATACTTATGAAAAATTTTGTTTTCTTTCTTTCTTTTTCAACTACTGACATAATTAGGAACAAATTGCTGATAAACTGACCACGTCTCTCAGCTCGCATGATGACTGAAAATGTTAAAACTCCCTTCTTAATTTGTCTGCATCCCAGTGAATGACTGTCTGCAGACTGTGAGTCACAATGATACGAATATGAGTAGACTGCTTCTGATACCCACTGAATGAACAATAGTTGTAGTAATTCATAGTCTAGTAAGTAACGCTCTAGTTTTTGAATTGACAAATACTGGCTCCAAGTCCCAGCGGTAAAGCGATAACCACCTGAAATTTAAGCATAAAAGTCTGCTGACTCCTAAATATGACAGAAAAGTGTGTCCTGGATTGAACTGCAAACCACTAACGAATCACCAAAATCATCCCGAAACTCAAGATAATACCAAAATATATACACAATAACTAAGTAGACCAATAAACACCAGAGCGAGGAGCTAAGCGAAGTCCAAACCAAAGAATTATAGAATAAAATTAGGTAAGAAATGGTAATCAATTAAACAGCAGAGACTTGATTCCAAAGGAAATCCAAGTGATTCTACTAAATAAGTTATTGGTTAGACCAAATTGCCATTCAAATTCTCCCAGGATTCACACAACATTTATGGTTTGGATAGTTTTGAATTCAAGTAATTTGACTTATTTAGCTTCTTGAAGAGAACTTTCTTGACTATACTGTCGGTTATATCCATAGCAGGTAAGCTGTACTTGTCATATCTTTAGGAAAACCTTAAGATCATTCTTTACAGTATCCGTTATTTATCAAAATAAATGCATCTGTTTACTATATTTTGCTTTGAAAGAGGTAATACAACTGAACATCGACATTAGTGAAGTGAATATTCTGACAGAAATATTTACTCTCCTCTAAGACTGATTAGTATTATTCATAGATAACCCATCATGCGAATAACATTATTCAAGCATCACAGAAAAGAAAGGTACATAGTGACAAAACATCTGGATGGCAGGTGTATAGTCTGATTAGTTACAGTCTTTTTAAGTAACTATATAAACTAATGCTCACAGGGACTCAGTCTGTTAAACTCAAACGCTGGTTGCAATGACAAACATACATTTGAGAAAAATCTGTCAAAATAAAACTGATGGATAGTAATAATAGAAACAATCAGACCTATGTTTCATTCATATATGGAGTCGGTTTTAATACTTAAGCGATGCATGTATTATGATTCATCTCATGCATACTCATTTGATGGCATGTACTTCAATACCGATTTTTTTTATGACTGACTCATTGGTTGAAAACTGAGAACAAACCATATTTGCTGAAAGTTTTCTCCTCCACCCACTCTTATTTGCAACGTATACACACATACACATCTTCAAGTGACCATTGTGATTTTAATGTCTTCTAAATAAGGTATAGCATATTTTGGAAAGTACAACTGATAAACGATACATTGACAAACATAGCAGCTTTTTATATTGTTGATGGATGGTGGCTAGCAGTGGAATCCAGGGTTTAATTACCCAATTTCGTTGTACAGTTGTAGATCATTATTCATTCGAATACTATTTGAAGATAATTCATCCCAGTGGGGTTCTTTGTTGATTAAAAGGCATCTTCAATATTTCCTTTATTCCAAATTATGGTCTCATCATGAGTTGACTTCAGTTGGTGAACATTTTTGAAACCAAAAGGCAGTTAACTACTGTGTCGTTCTAGTGTGAGAAACTTTATTTGCTTATGCTCATGAATATACAACAGACTGATTTGGAATACTGATGAAAAACTTTGATCGTTGGAGTCAAGCGAATGGAGTATGAAGATGGTTTCTTACTAATAACAATCGACAGTGATCATGAATCAAAAAATGTCAGACAATCTGAACTACAAGCTTAACTCAAGTGACTTGATGGTAACATTTTGTCGATGGAAGCTGATATTACAGGATTTGATCTCTCATTGGATCATAGGTGTGCTTTGCGGAACAATTACAACGTATAAGGCAACAGTTATTCGATACTGAGTAATTTTTAATGATTCAAAAGTTGACGTCAATCCATGGTGAAAGATACCCTGAAATTAGTCAAATAAATTAGTTATTTGACTGAACATAAACCAAACAATCGAGTTAAAATTGAATTTTTTTAATTATTTTGGTGACAAATTCAACTAAAGTTTTACAAGTGATCCAAAACTGTTGATTGGCTGAAGGCAATCGGCAGGATGTTCTGGATCTAGGTTTTATGCTTGTGGGCACTCATCAGCAATGCACATCTGCAAAATGATTGGTAGAATTTAGTCAAAGCTCAGAACTAGACAACATGAGACTAACTGCTCTTCAGTGATCGATGAATGTGTGATCTAAAACTGTTTTTAGGTAAGAAAATAGCTACGAGATTGAATATCTTATCATTGTTGCATGACATGGTTGCAGAAGAGTGAGAGACTTTGCTTCTTAGCAGACATACTGCTTGTATACGGTTTAGTGAAATAAAGGAGTTACTGACACAATCTACAAATGGATACCTTTTCATAACATTTTGAAAATATAAAACCTTAATGCAAAAAATCAGAAAGTTAATTATAACAAAGAAAATGCTGACTTAAAGTGGATAATCTTTATAATAGTTGTTTCGATGAGTAAATATTTCACACTAATTTTCAAATTAATTCATTTTAACACGCAAGTTTTCTTGCTTTACCGGAATTACTAACAGGTGTATCATTTGATCAATAGAGAACTATTGAGTTAAGTTGGACAAAATTACTACTAATACATGAAAATTTCATTTTGGAGGTTTGTGGGGATTTATCCGTTGTTTCCAGGTTGGAATTCATCAGTGGATCGACATCAGTTTGGGAACTGTTAGGAACCTGAGAGCACTGGATAGGTGTTTCCTCCTAACATGTACGAGATGTAAACCATTGGATTCCGACGCAGTGGCTCAGTGGCAATGTACCGGCCGCGGGACATAAAGGTCTCAGGTTCAGTGCCTAAAAATTTATGGGTGCGCACTGTTGGGGAGTCCCAAACTAAGACGAAACAGCTGTTCAGTGTTTCCAGTTTTCACTGGTTCCGCAACATAAAGAATTGACAATAGGTAAGCTGCAGTAGCATGTAGATGGCTTGAGGGCTGACCAATGCATGATTCGATAACTTGAAGACCACCTTCCAAAGAAGCGCATTTGTTTACGTGTACAAAATCTAAGCATTTTCTAAGTAGATCCTCCAGAAATTCAGTAATTAGCTGTTACAACTAGCCGTCAGTCATACCATGTCTCTAGAAGTGAACAATCTAGTTGTCAACCCAGATTATCTCAGACAGTCTAATTTAGCAAGAATTATTTTGTTATTTCTGGACAGTGTTTATCATATGCTTCAACACAATCCGACTATTTAGGATAATGTGAAAGTGGGGTATATGCAAACTTGAATGGAGGTGAATGCAACAAGTATGATTCTGATGACAGTCCCTACTTTACAGAAGCAACAGTAACATCTAATGATCACTTGAAACTAGCGGAGTTATATGAGGCAACGAACTTTTCACCAACATTCAAGCATGAGAGGATTATCTAAATACTTGACGAGACAGTAAGTAGCAACACCTCTGTGAGGAGATGGTTTGTGAAAAAGCTTGTGATACTAAATATATCTAGGCATTTAGGTACTGAATAATCTCGAGAATCGGCACGAAGCCTTGCACTGAGGTTTCGTGCTTTTCACACTCGTAACCTCTAGAGGCGATGTTCCATCTGAGATTCGAACCCATGTCGCCCATTACTGGAGTCATAGACGTTACCAGCGAGCTACTCGTATCACGACTGACATCCAGTGAAAATTAGAATTCATGAAACTGGCAGTTAATTTCTGTTGAGGTATTACAGTGGATAGCTAAAATGATGGCTCGGGAAGCAGTTACGACATGAAACCAATGCCACCTTATAAAATTCTGGTAATTCGAAACACCAAACTCTCTCCGCATGGTTCTTTAAACACAGGCATACGATGAGGCCAACCAACACTGTCTCTATTCTGATTGGCTGTTTTATCACATGTCATACTGCATCATTATGTTATTGTAATGACAAAAATATCATCACCCCTTCCTGTCTGTATGTCTATGGCACACATGTGTCTGTCTGTACTTTTTATGGGACTTAACATTGGTTACCTTTTTTACTTCACGTTGTTTTTGCCCAAGGTGAGCAAGTTCAAACAGTGCCATGCATTAGTCACTCATATAATTCTTTCATTGGGAATATGTAAAATTGAACTACAGACAAATAATTCACAAATATTTCCGGTCCAATTCATCACTCAGCTGTTCTCTATAATTAATTTAGCAGACTATTTGGATGCGTCATACATACAAAAGAAACCCAATAATGGTCTTAAAGAGAGCAGTATTAGAAATATGATATTATGCTTTGATATGTACTTTTGCACGAGATTAACAATCGTAGTTAAATATTTTCCTGTTGGTTAGATCGAAATAAAGTTTTAATTACAAGAGATGATAATGATACTAAAGGCCATGTATTCATCTGGAGATTTACTCTCAGCATTTTGGATTTTTGTCATAAGTAAGTCTTTTATTCTGAAGTAAATGTTTCAATGTTTTTTTCACAACACTGGAAATATATTACTACTATTCATTACTATTGTAACCTTCATCAAAGTGTGTTAATAAAGCATGAATTTCCAAGACACTGAGTCGTCGATTTCTACCGCAATACTTTGAAAACCAGAACGAAAACCGGCAGAGTGCTCGATACTAATCAAACTACGTTGATCGTAATATATTAGACACTGAGTTGAATGCCTGAAGTTCTAAACTTACTGGTAGGTTAATAATGTCTTTAGTCCGAATTTTACTGCTAACACTCATTCACAAGATTTTCTTGAAAAAACTTAGGAAACCTGTTGCCAATGAAATCGTGATAGCTCAGTAGCGACAAATGATGAGTCTATCAAATGAAACGTTGAAAGTTTGACTACGGTATAAATTATGAAACAGGAAATGAAACGAACTACAAAATAATGCTTACGTCTATATTACTTTTACATTGCTGTCTTTCCCATTTCTTATGACATGCTTCTGAACATAATCTGTGTCTTACTACTAAATAGTAATAGGATTTAAGTTGTACACAGTATCTGACTATATGAATTTAAAGTCCACTATCGTCGTAAATTTTCATTTTGGAAGTTAAACTACAATTTGCAAAACCTATATACAATATGGTAACTGCGAGAAACATACTTATTCTAGTTTACAAGACTCATTCAACCCCTAGATCTTTTATACTTATTTTACTGAAGAACATTTTTTACCTTTAAATTTCGTTAACCGGAGATCAGGATGATCTAAACACTTGATGGACGTTTCTTTCATTTGGGGTGAAGCTCGTCAGCAGTTTGCCTGAACAGATTTATCTCAGGAAGCCGAATATTTAAGACCAACCGAATCTAGTTGACTCACTTGATTAGATTGGATAATTGGTTTGAGAATGATTTAAAAATTCCATTGTGTACGTTGATGTTTCTAACAGCTGAATGGTTTTTCAAATTATTACTGAAGTTATCGCTGATGATGTTGTTTAGAATGACGATGAAAGCTTCATGATTAAACAATCCAGATCGGAGAACAAAATACAGTCAAGGCTTTTTGATTGACCAACTATGGTGGAAACAGAATTTCTGTTGGAGATCAATGGATCTGATGGCCGAAGTATTCAGTTCAGCCGTTTATATTCACCTGTACTGTACTTTTTTAATAGAAAAGGTGATTTTCGTGAGTAGGCTGTTTCTTTTATTGTTCATTTCTTTGACAACATAAGTATTTCTGGTTACAACTGTTCACATTACTTTCTCATAGGTTTTTATAAACATTTGTTACACGACTTCATGATAACTTTAAACTGATCCACCTTTAATAGCTGATAAATAAGGCAAGTATCTTGTTAGATAATAAACATTGGAGCATAAACTAAGTGCTTAGAAAGCAGAATTTATGTTTTCCAAATGTACTTCAAGTTGAGAATACTGCAATGCGATGAAATGAACTTTCAATGGAACCCAAACATATCTGGATGGTAGTATATATGATCTACTTTACCGCCATTGATAGTGTCAAGATTGTGAATTTATAAGCAACAAGTTTTAATCGAAATAAATTTTCTTAGCTAACCTTGCTTAATTTAGAAGTGAATATTTTTTCTCTACGGATGCTCTAATACCTACACAGACATGCAAACGCTTTATACTAACTTATTGTTCTTTTCAGTTGAAACGTAGAGCTATAGAAGAATATTTTGTTTTATCATTATCATCGTGAAGTAAAGCGGAAAATAACCATATTATCATTACAAAGTAATTTTTCTTGTCTCTATTCCATGGTTTCTGTTTTATTATTTTTAAAGGGGTAAAAACAACACAAAGGATCATGTATTCACATAATTTAACAATACAGATTTATAGTCTGTGAATATAATTATTTCCTTTTTATTTCTCTTGGAAATTTTATCATAGAAATTCTGTATGGCCACTCTAGAGAATGGTTGCGTGCTAATATAATAATATGAATATTCTGTACACTGAAGGTGTGATGTGCGTGTGTTTATATGTATCTTATTGTTGAATAATACTCAAGTTATTCTTCTATCAGCATTATTTTATGAAGTGTTATTCGAACAGATTGAAAATATTTTTATGTACATTCCATAACTTTTTATGTCTTTTTTGTAGAACATAAGATAGAATGATCGAAGTCATAGGTGTAACTATTGTAAATATCTAAAGATGACACAACATATAGGATATACAAGCATTACAGTTAAGTTTACATAACTTAAATTATGAAAAGACATTTTCTAACGAAAACTGTGGTAATTCTACCCTGAAAGCTACATATTGACTCAGTCTAGCGGATAGTTCCTGTAAAAAGATGTCTTGTTACCAAACAAGATACCTTTGCCAGTGTACTTGTTTTATTATATGCTCAACACAGTTATGAGTTTTATATTGATCGGTCACTGGAAAATAATCGATTTCATCTTGTCTAGTCCTCAATTCTGACCGAATTCTATCTATCAATCTGCACTCTGATAGATGTTAGTCGGATACAGACAATCGTAAGGATTTTCTACCGATATCAAGTTAATTATCTCTTCTTTAAAGAGTTTAGAAGCAATATTGAAACGTGTTTGTAATTATAGTGAAGTGATCAGCGTAATTAAAAGACTAGTCAGATCCCAAGTAGGATTCCAATTGAACTTCTTCACACTAACCAATAAACTTTCTTTCAACTGAGTTAGGAAACACAGCAGCCTAGTTATAATTAGAAAACGGTTGATTCGACATATATAAAGTGAAAAGTTGATTGAAAACACATAGAAAACTAGGATTTCTAGTTTCAAAACATGAAGTGATTCCACTTGTCTAGTAATAATGTGGTACACGGCGAATTCACTTGGTTGTTTCTGAACACCAAATGATAATGCTAACTACTCAATCTTTGAACCAGTTTGGAACATCATTTGCTTGACTGTACTCACCACTGATTGTACATGTATCATCCGCATATTTTAAGTGGAAATAAAAGTGACTAAATTAATTGGTTTAGATGTATTGCTGCAGGTTTCACGAAGTATATCATTACACTTTTGCTCCTCATTCTCATGATCCATAATTTCAACCATCTTCAGTCACTAGTCCATATTAAAATCTATCCAATGACAAGGACTCTAGTACATGTTATAGGTAATAACACAGTTGTATAAGATTTTTATTCCAACGAAGTAGTTAGATGATTGATATTCTTCTACCTAACGTATAGAATTTCTCGTAATGTTGCCTTTTCACGAAGTATTCAGATTTTGTTTTGCGGAAAATTGTATGAATGGTCGAGAGTTTAACCAATTAACCGATTGACTTCGTCGACCCACTCGAAGTTGTTTCCTTCTTTAGAATATTTTCTAAGCGGTATTTTTGTCATCGATCTGTTTGTTACTGACATGTGTGGTTAGCGTAGAGTCGAAATCTACTCAGTAGCCTTATGCACATTCATGCAGTAGACAATGAATCCACATCGATTACTTAGAGGTTACTGATACTACCTGGCTCTCCGAATCTCGCCAAGTGAGATGATGTTCGAATCTATGACCAGCGGTTGAAAATCAACTCCTTAAGCCAATGAGTAACAAATAAGTGTATTGGTTGCAAGTGAGCCGTAATGGGGGGTTTCAGAGAGAACTACACAGTTTCTTATCACTCATTAATCAACTGTAGTTTGTAGGTTTGCACCGCTTACAAAGGTTGGCTATAGAAAGATGTTATGATAAGAGGTAAAAGGGCCGAACTACAACTAATTATTATTATAGATCCATCTAATTCAAAGTAGACAGAACGTCACTTCTACTATTATTTGAGCGAACAAATTTTAGTATGTGTGATTAATCCAAAGTGCTTTGGTCACTTCCTTTAATAAATTTGAGTTGAAGTTGTGTGAAACAATTCAAAAGCAGAGGTAACAATTGCAGCGGAGAAAAAATCTCCTTCCCAAAGAAATCATTCTGTTAGTTGTATGTTTGTGAATATGCAGCAGACAAAATAGAACATTCCAGAGTAATTCACTACTAAAAGGTCAAAATAAATTCCATTACAAAGGAAAGTTACGTAATATGTATGTGTTTCAAATAGGACAACAAAGAAGCGATTGCGTGATAAAAAAGTCACATCATAGTTACATCACTACCTAGAGTGATCAGTCCTCTACGAGGGCTATGACAGACATGAAGTTAGGCATACTTCTTCTGAACGAACTACGATAGTTTCAACTTTTGAATTGCTGATGCTTCAGCTGTGCCCAGATGTTCTTAGCCGTACTGCTTTCGAATGGCTTGGTCGCACCCTGTACAAAATTTTGAAGGATTTATCAAAAGGAGCCAAGTGTCCCGAGTTAATCAAGTGTTCTGTCACAGAGTTGAATGTGCATTTCCATTCTCCCCCTGTCATTCAAGCTGTCTAGTTTTCTTAAGTACGTTTCACAAGCTGGTGCTTGGTAAAGAGGATGTCCTCGACCCCACAGAAGCAAGTGAACTGATACATACATGCACTGATATGACCCAGTGCTCCACCTTACACTTTACGTAATGGCGAATGAGTTTCTGACAGGAAACTTTGATTTTAAGACTGAAAGGGGAAATGTTCTGTTTACGCACCTTGATAGTTGCTTTGGAAAACAGCAATTAGCACTGCTTTTGTAACTTGTTATTGTGTAATGCATGAGAATTGGTGCTACTAAATAGGTTTAGTCATTTGACTTGATAACCACGGGAGAACATGTTATTTCTGATAGAATTCCTTCATTCGGTCAGTTATACCTATATGTGTCCCTATAACTGCGTGTGAAATTAAAGATCCAATGTGAGGCAGAATTAATGAGAAACCACTTTTTACTTTTTACCCAGGGAATGAAAATATCCTTGAGGATACCTAAAGGGAACCGGGGTAGAAAGTGTTCGACTGACGACCGAAGCCCTTAAGCTATCAGCAACAAACTCTGGTCACATTTAAAGCGATA